TTGGGGCCATTGCTGTTGTGAAGCCACCTGACCCTCTAGATTTCTAATCGAGGTGTTGAGTTCCGACGTCCGGAGACCAAGTCTGACCAGTGGGAAGTGATCAACTGGAAGAGCATGGAAGAGCTGTAGCTACAAAACCTTGCAGAGTCACAATGAATTGTTGTGGAAGAAGGACTGTCGCCGGAAAACCCTCTGCAACTTCTTTCATAATGTGTCATAGTCCCAAAGAACAACCCAATTGTGGGGTTATGCAAACAGCTTGCCAAGCTTGGCAGCGATTTGGGCTCGGCATACCAAGCAAAATTGTAATTACAATGTTCAAAAAGGATGGAGTCGCTTTCACACATTCAGTTTCAGCATAGTTCCTCCCTTTAATGTGAAAAGAAACGCCAGCTGAAACAGAAGCCGCGGCAGATGAAACACCAACCGTCCGACTTGGCCGCCGTCCCTCCGCCGCCCTTCACGGCCCAAGGGACCCAGCGGGGATGATGTAGGCCTTCACCCGATTGGGATCCGGCAAAGCTCGTTGCTTCTCCTCCAGGTCTTCGCGGTCGTGCGTCGGCTCGCCCAGCACGAAGAGCCCTAGACACGACCAGACGACCGGCGACCGGAGACAGTTTTGGTGTTGGGACGCGCGCGCCGTGAGACCGGGCGCGGTGACCAAAGGAGTGAGCAGTTGATATATGAACATACACTCATTTGGTATATAATGTCTAGTTTCATAGAAGGAACCAAATGCAAGGCAGTTATTTAAGCAAACCTATATATAGCAAATATAGATATATATATATACTTATGACCTATTAAGCAGTTGTGCAGGTGTGAGGTGGCGGTAGACCTTGATCGGAGTCGTGTGCCTTCGTCTCTCTTGGTTAAGGGGCTTGCATATTGCTTGCGTGCATGATTCTTTAAACCAGCAAAAGTTGGGGAAGTCTTTGAAAGGCGCTGATGGGGACCTCACATGGTTTCCCAATCCATGTCACTTCCATTGTTGGAGGACGGGTGCATCAGATTCCACAATCGATTCCAGTCCCGTTCGCGCCCATGACTTACAAGTTCAGTGGAACCGACAGATCAGTCGGTACTCAAAACACTGCAGCCGCTGCAGCCTGACACTTAACTCGTCCATCCGTCCGTAGCACGTGGAGCCTTCGACTCCCAGGAGTCACATGGAGTTGTGGTGTAGCTCGTCCCCTTACGTGAGTGGATGTGGCAGGGGCACCCCGACTACCTCCATGGATAGCACCCTGTCGAACGTGACTGCTGGTCCAAAGATCTTCCAAGAATCACTGTGTTACCCGCCTGCATGAAGAGAATGCAGCAAAGTGCGGTAAGAGACCCTGTACGCGCTTGAAGAGACCCTATACTCACTGCATGGGTCATCGGAAGGTCATCGGCCTGGGTTCTTGCCGATCACAATGAAGGCCTGGGTCATCTCCAGGTGCCGCTCAAGCCTGAAAAGAAGGGGTCATCTCCTTTGCCGGGTCCATCTTGGTTGATGGACAAATGATTGTGCTCGGGTTACATACCACCTGCAAAAAACTTGCTTCAACATGCTTCAACACATGTTCGAGTTAAATATTAATGCTAATTGTAGTAATTGCAAATTGCAAGGTGTATGGCAAAATCTAGCTTTATCTCAACTGCACTGCAACAAGTGGTTGGTGGATGTTGGTGGTTGGTTGACTCATCAACGAAGCACATCATAAAGGCCAGCCAAAAGGTGAACATCTGACAGTACCTGAAAATACCACACAAAACGAGTATCTGTGCAAACATGTGCAAAACCCATTCGACTGTTGGGCCGGCCCGAATCCTGTCAGGACCCAGTCATTCGCACAAGCGTTTTTGTTGGTTCCCTTGCTGAAGAATCACATCATACCCCAAGCGCTCCATGTATGGAGTACATATATACATACAAGCAAGATAGTATAAGCCTGCGTTGACATTGACACCCTTTTGAACAACCCCAATGTCGGTGAATATGCCAGTCCATGCTGAGAAGCACATGTTCAAACACTCAAAACATCGGGTTTGGCCTCCAGCCGTAGGGACTCCGGAATCTCCCCGTCATGAGGTCCAGGACATGGCAAGTATCGGATATCGGATGGCCACCGAGCAGCCCTGTACATTCTCCTGCATTTGTTCAGTTCGTTGGGAGTCATAGTCATACAAAAGAGTTGAGTCGGTCCACACCCCAATCCAGTTACACTTGCCATAAGCATACAGGCTTCGGGTGGAGGCGTTCCGTTTCGTGTCCCAGCTAAACCGGAAATGTGGGAGGCTTGGATCAATCCACCTTAACCATCCTGACAATGTCCTGATTTACGATGTCCTGCAATTGGAGAATATACCTACTGTTTGTAGTTTGGGGCTAGTGTTCGAGGTTCATTTAACTCATGGATTCCATCGAGCCTCATCGCCACTTTCCCTACCCAACCTCATCGACTCGTGTCTCAGACCCGAGGCACCAGCTGACGTTGTGATCATCACGCCAGTGAATCTGGCTGGTGCGCACGCAAGCCTGGTCTTTCCAGTCTGCGTGCTCATAGTTGGCACCCTCAATGACCTCGGTTCGGGGGGTGAAGCTGAAGTCGTGTCCTTCACGGGTCCAGTGTGCGGTAGCTTCATGTGGAATCTCAAGTCTTAAGATTCGTAGTTCTTTCCCTCACCGATTCGCGTTCTTGCCCAGCTTTTGAACATTGAACCTGCTCACGGTCCGTAAACGGTCCCTTTCTTAGAGAGATGAAGCCTCTGAATTTCTACATCTTTGATCATCTTTGCATATCTTTGCTATATAATTGAAACATGGCTGCAACATCCAACCCAGCAGCCACGCCGTGGGGGAGGGCTTCCACCGGTTTTTTGGAGAAAACGCGTTCCTCCCATGGTCGCACGCGATCGGCTGCGCGGGTCCTGCGCGGGTCCGGGTCCAGTCGGGTTCCCTTCGGTAGGCTGCAGTCGTGGTTCATGGGGAGGCCTTGGCCCGATTCTTAGGGACCCACGTTGGCCCGATTCGACCCTGAGGGGGCACTGATGGGACCCTTGGTCCGTGGTCCCGCATTATGAGTGGAATGGAATGGATGGTCGCCCCCTAGGATGGTCGCGCCCGGAGCCAGACTGTCGCTGAATTTGCAGAAAGAGGTTCGTGCCCAGGTTCTTGTGAAATCTGCGGTCCCGTAGATGAACCATCCCAAACCCATCCCTTGTTGCTGTGAAGAACCATGGGGCAAACAGTCAAGCACTGCCCAAACACTGCATGGCCCTTCCCTATGCCTAGTCTGCGGCCCAAGTGGCAGTCTTGTAGTATGGAATGCCCAAGCCGGGGTTCACCACGGTGTCATCCACAAAGTAGCCCAGCTTCTCCGTGTTCTCCCGGGTGGCAATCACCAAGTCGAGCATGCGGATCGTCTCCTTGGTGAGGCTTGAGAAACAACATGAGTACAAAAGAACAAAGCTCCTGATGAAGCGAAAGCAACTCAAGGGAACAAAGGATGGTGAACCATATTATGTCAAAGAATATAAGTACTGATATTGCTTCCCGTCTTCATCCTCTGCTACATTCCGATACTGTTTTGAATCAAATCTATCAAGGTTTTTCCTTTTTTTCAAGTGTGTCCTCTTCTCCTCTTGCAAAGCCCATGATCCACTTCTTAGGGAACGCATCGGCTTCAACCCCTCACACCCTCACACCCGCCGTGAGATTCGACCATTTCACTTCACCGCTGTTCTTCTCCTCCACCTGTTCTACCATGCTGCCCCATCCAGTCCTCCATCCCCCCAGAAAAAGGTGACCTACAAGCCGTCCAGAGGCATCTTTGACATGTTTGGAACCATCCCTACTGGATGATGGCGCGCCGAGTCTCGGCCTTGCGCTTCAGAGCCATGGCGCTGCTGTGTCTGCTTTGCCGTTCAACTGATCACACGTCCAACTGCAAATGGCTGCGTTGATTCTTGGTGAATGTCAACATCCGACGAGCACAAACAAACTAGTGTGTTGGAGCATCTCTACAGCATCAAATCGAGTAGTTGGAGTATGAAGCATCACTTGATGTACCTCGCTGGAGGTACAGTTGCAAGTTGATATTTTAGTGAAATATAACACCATCCTAAAGGTTCTCCTGAAACACACGGCACTTGGTTCATGAGGCACCTCTGATGATAGAATCATGGCAAAACATATACAGCATGTAAAAAAAAAACGTGATTCTTCATAGATGCACATCATGAGAGAGTATGTTCTATGGATTGTAGCCAATACCAAGCTACCGTGCGTCTTCACCCAAAACTATTACGTAACTATCGTGATGATTCTTGCCCATGGTCGAGACGCCCATCAAGAATCACCCGATTTTAGCCTCCATGAATTGTAGCTATATAGCACCGCTAGAAAACCTATTGGGAAGTCAATGCCTTCAACTCAAGGAGGGCCAAAAGGAACCCTTGATGTTCGGACATGGGAAGATGAGTGAGTAAATGTGAGTAGCCGTATACAATATGATTTTTTGGGGCCTTCATTCACGAAAAAACGCCATGGAAGCCTAAGGAACCTGCTTCGACTGGAATTCCGAGGTGTGTCGAGGTCTTCCAGAAATCTCGTCTCCATGTGACATTCTGGCAGGGTGATCAAATATCGATTGAAAATCAATTGCAACTCATAAATAGGAGAAAGGTCCAAATGGAAACTCTGCACCAGCAAGCCAGCAGCTGGTTTCTTCAACATGGGATGATGGCTGACGGCACCACAACCCAGCGATAGGGGTGGAAGTGTGACTTCACATGTTCCGCGGTGGGTTTAGCCACTTGCCCTCCCTGCAACAAACATGGAAGACAACCTGCAGTTTGTAGAGGAACATAGTCTTTCTAGGGGCCATGCCATCCACTTTCATCATTGTTTAAGGGAGTGTAACACCAAAAACAACCCCTGTCAAACCCAGTCCGTCCTGAAACACCTCGGCTAAACCCTCCCATCGGCCGGGCGAGGGGGTTCGCCCTGGCTCCTCCTGTGGGTCACGCTCGTCGAGGAAGGCCTCGCGCATCTCCGTGACCAGCTCGTAGGTGGCCGCCTGCGCCGGCCCGGCGCCGTTGGCGTCCGTGCCACGGAGAGTGATAGGGGGGAGGCGACGAGCTCCTCAGGTTGAAGATGGTTGAAATGATCGTTCTTTGGTGCATCATTTCAACCGGAGGTGTTTGTCCACATGAATGACTGTAGGTGACTAATCCACCTCCAAATTGGCCAATTCTATTCAAAGTGGACCGTCTAGGCTACGCGGGTCCGGTGAGGAGCCTTCGCCAGAGATGGAGGGTTCGTCTCAGAGACAGGTCGCAGCATGCTCGTGTTTTGGAAGTAAAAAAACATGTGAAAACCATGGTTTCCTGTAGTGTTGAGGGGATTCCTGGTATTTGCTGGACAAGCAAATGCCAAACGAACGCATGTTGAAGCACAAACCTGTCAAAAAACACACACACAACGTGCCCAAGGGTGCTCTAGACATCAATTTGCCTTTCTGCTGGAGAATTAGTCGCAGGATTCCAACAACCAAGCCACAGAACCCCCAGAGACTTGTGCTCCCCTGTGCCAAATTCAGCAGCAAAGCTAAGAAACCACTTGGTGTTTCAGGTCTGTCAAAGTCCTGGCAAAAGGAACAACCAAATACCGACATCTAGTGGGATATGACCGGGCCAAAAGAGACTGACCCCCCTAGGTAGGACATCTAGGGGGGATCTGAGTCACTGACTCCCTAAGTGGCACCTCCCTAACCCCCTCTGGAAGCCGGGCGACCGGAAGCCGCCCGAAACGCGACCTAAAGGACCGAAGGCGGCCCGATCCAAGTGCCGTGAGTCACACAACCACAATGTCAGACATATCAACATCACCCCCGGGGTGACTAATCTGATGACTAACTGACTAATTATATCATTTGCCAATGAAGAAACTGAAGAAACAACACCTCAAGCTGCTGTTTGTTGATTGTTTTTTTTTTAATGAATCTGGTCTTTTCTCACAAAATTGGCCGTGTCCCTGTCCATTACATCTCTGGACTCTGCCTGGGACTCTGCCACAGTCACCGAGCGTTCGCCTTGGGAACGAGAGCCACACTCGTCGAAACTCGCCGAGGGCAAATGAGACTCGGTCCAACATGGGCGGCAAAAGAACTACACTCCCTGCAACTATCCCTACCCTCAGTGAAGGGGACTTTGCAAAATGAGAGCTACACTTTCCAAGGTCCACGTTGGTTTGTGTAGAGATAGGCGGTGGTGATCTGGAACTGACATGGAAGTGGACGTGAGGAAAGCTGTCTGGGCAATCCTTCAGCCCAGGGCCTGTCCGGCCCCTATCTGAGGGAATGTTTAGCTCCTGCCGACAGCTTGAGCTTGTGACAGCTTGAGCTTCTGCCGAAGCTATACAGTTGCTTCTGCCTGCAGTGCATGCACCCTTGTGCCTGCTACGCGGCTCACCGTCTCACCTCAAACGTGCGGATGTTGCTGCCCGTCTGTTGCTGCCCGAGCCTGTGGTGGTCCTCCCACACCTCCGTGAGGCTGCGATGCGGAGCCTGTTGTGACCTGCAAGAGACCTGCTAGACCCTGTCCTGTCGTTGGCTTCTCAACGCATTGGGACCAAACGGCGCCCGAAAGCCCATAAAACCGATGCTCCTCAGTCGCCAATAGAACAGAAACGCACGAGTCTAGGGAAAAAACAGATGGCCCCTTGGGGTCTTCCATTTTCCAATGTTCCTCTACAACGAGAGGTTCAACGTCGCTTCCATGTGAGTTCCAGGAGTTCGTACCTGCCAGCAACTGCTGCGACTTGAGTCTCCGTCCGCGAGTGACGTCGGTGTCCACCGAACCACGTCATCCAAGTTGGAACCCCTCCGGATGGTGAGGATGGAGACATCGAGACTGGTGGCACGGCAGAGGTTCTTCAAACCAGATGGTTTTTGGACGCAACATACCGGGGAAACACCCGGAACAGCCCCTGATAGCTTGCCGCGAACAACAGAGTCGCAACTGTTGGTTGATCTTCTCCTAGACCAGTATTATTTTTTGGTGGACTGCGCATGTGATTTATTGTAAAAGGAAAGGAGAGTACCAACCCCTACCCGGTGAAACATAGAACGCACTGTTCTATCCGTAACGCACGTTATATCCGCACGTAGCGCGACGTCTGTTCTTCTGTGGGTTGACCCCCACATCAATTGAACGATGTTTTGTGTGAAGACACGAGGACAACTGGATTGTCTCTCAGCCGGAACATTGTTACAGGATGTTACATTGTATTGTATTGTTATTACAGGTATTGTTATTATTGTACTATTATTGTGTGTGTGTTGAGTCATTCTGAATTGGAATCCTTAAGCGGTGTATGGTTTCTTCTGAAGACGTCCCGAGGTGTGTAGACGAGGCTCCGACCCTTCAAAACCGCGGTAGGATTCAGGTACCTTGAGGTACCGTTTTCATTTGCATACCTGGACCATCCAATGGGTGTACACTCCTTGGATGCTGGTATGTCCTACATTTCTACCAAACACGTCTACATTTATGTTGGCTGGACAAGTTTTGGTTAAGACCGTCTTCGAGACTTCGAATTAGAAAAATCGAGAATTCGACATGATGGGTGTGCAGTCGAGACTTCAACATGTCTTCGACGAACGATCAAACAACCTCAGCACCTTCTTGCTTCTGCTGCTTCCTAAAACAACGAGCCATTTGGCCCATGCTCGGTTCCGTGCTCGCATGTCCTGAAGCACAAAGTCTGAGGTGCAAGGCCTGTGGAATGAAACTCTGGTGTTCCAATGATATCATCTTGGATTTGCGTGTTCGGAAGCCGGGAAAACAAACACATTCCCCAGAAGGGGATTCACCCATAGGGGAAGACAACAAAGTAAAACTCAGGTCATGATTGCCCCGGCACCCATCGTGGACACAAATGATTTGCATTTACATATATATATATATGATATTGTAGGATCACATACATGCACACAAAACCCATCGGGTCTCTGTCCACGGGTCTTTCTGGCGTCCCAAAACCCCAAGGCCACACCTCTCCACACCCGGCGTGCTTGGCTCATGCCGTGCGTAAAAAACACACATAAAAGTAAGTTCAACAACATAACTAACCAAATCCTATATACACAAAGTTGACATTGACAGGCTGAGGCTCATGCCAGTCTTTCGAAATACAGCTATTACAAAAACGCAAACCTTTAAAACACATGATGTGCTCCTGATCCAATGTCAACGTCGATGAAGATTCACAGACCCATCACGTCTCTCCATGTGTATATATATGATATACATATGTACTGCTTCATTGCAGAAACCTCCGACTGTTACAAACTACACTATCAATCTGCCAATCCGGTAATCATTGGGAATTGGAACAAACCTTAAGAGATGGAGCATTCCAGGTTGATCCCCGACCCTCTTCGTGAGGGCGAAGGCACCAACCTTCTCCACGAGCAGGCGTCGAAGCTCCTGGCATGTGCTGGAAGCCTGAACTTCCAGTCCGTCGGCTTTCAAGGCATTTCAAGGCCTACAAAAAGCGAAGAACTTGACATGAATGATGTATCTGAACTATTTGTAAAATATTAAATGATATTCACAAATATTACATTAAGTTAATTTAAACAAACATTTAACAGAAGTTGAGATGCGCCTGTGCGTTGCATCATCATGCCGTAATACCACAAACACACACGCGTACATTTTGCGGCCACAGAATTGCTCAATACGGTGTTGTCTCACCCTGCCTTGTCTCCTCGCTTTCACTACTACAGACCTATCCCCCCACATCCACGGCAATCACCTATATCTTTGTATTAGGCAAAACCATGCCAAGGGAGGTCCCATCCTAAGACTTTAACGTGATCCTTGAAAGCCTCATCCATGGGGTACCTGTGAGTTCAAATGTTTTGTTTTCCTGGTTCTTGTGGGTGTAATGCTCTCTTTCTTCTGGCATGCTTGGAGCATCTTGGATTTGTTGATCAGAAACCCTGACCACCAAATCTTCTGTTCAAACACCTTCGGAGCCTTTCAAGAAGATGGCTCTTACCACATCAGGGTGAAGTCCCTCTTCATGAGACTTTCCAGAAGAAACACATCTGCTCCCATACCCAGTAAACAATTCTGCTCCCATTCCCACGTCTTCGCCCCACCCATTCACTTCTGCTCCCATCCTCCTTGGTGTTGGCATCCCGACAACGCCTTAAGGCCAACAAAACGCCAGCCTAGGAGGCGCGGGGTCTCTTGGATGGGTCTCAAAAGGCTCCCTGTTGCTGGGGACCCTAGTGATAGCTGCTCAGGCTGAAAAAAAGGGCCTGGGGCTTGGGTCGAAATGGCATTCGTTGGTGACAAGTGGCTCTACATGGGTCTAGTGCCTGGTCCATGACAGGTATTCTTTTTAGGAGCTGCGAAGAAAGGCACCTATATGCGTGTCAGTTGTTTTTGGTTTTTTTTTTCCGGGCTCAGACTGCAGCAACATGGCAGGTTTCAAAAGAGTACGGTTTCAACATGAGGGTTCACTACACTGGGCAGTTTCTGACTCATGCATACTCATATGTCATACAGCCTAGTGCACCGCTAGGACTTTGAAGTTCCAAATGTCCTATATGTAGGGCCAGCATTTTGATGAACATCCCTCCTGGGCACAGGCGGGCGGCTGCCCTTGCAGCATTCTAAAGCGTGTCACAATGCCCTCAGCTTTGCTTAATTTCGCTTAGCTTTTAGCGTCGTCACAGGTCCAGCTCGTAGAAGTTTAAAGTCGATAGGTAGAACTTTGAGTCTCCCATGCATGCGTGCATTTGCTTGAAGAACCAGGAAAACCAGCAAAAAGGTGTAAATCACCCATAGGGAGAACCAGCCATCTATTCAGGTCGAAACAATGAAATGGTCTGCGTTGCATGGTTGTCGTCAAGGATTTCTTCAAAGAAGATGTTTACGGTTTTTTAGTAGGATTGTTTTTTGTTGAAAATGCGAGGGCACTAGCACTTATATATAGTATATATATATATTTATTTGTATCTCTGGGGATCCACATACACCCGAAACAAACATACTTGGCCCTTCCAAGCCAACATATATAATTTGTCTCCAATCAGCTTCTCAGAAAGTATATGGATTTGTAGGAAATATTATATATTATATATACAAGACTGGATATGTTCAATTCTTAGGTCAAAGCAACAAGTTCTGAAGGAACCAAGCATATTTCCACCACCGCCCCCCCAGTTGAGAAATCAAAGCTGTTGAGTTGTAACATGTTGTAACCCCCATTGATTCCGGTCTGCGACTTTTAGGTGGCTTGTGTGGCCCCTCACCGTTATGCTTCGACCTGTGCGTCGTGCATAAGTCAGACGCCTCTCAAGCGAGATCTGGCGCGAGTGGTAGTAACATATGTTGTAACGCAACAGTGCATAATTACTGTTTCTTTTAGACTTGTTTTTTCGACTAAGCCACGTCGTGAAAGCAAAAACACCTGCACACGAAGACACTTGACTTCCATCCCCCTCCCGTCAACGCTGAAACTGCGCGGAAACCGCCGCCCATGTCCACCCCTGCTTCCGCCACCGCCAAAGCTCGCGTAGCGCGGCGCGCGTCCAACACGCGACGCGCGAACCGCCGAGTGCCGCGGCATCGACGGGCACACCGCCGGGTTCGTGCAGGCGCTTCTTCGCCGCCTCGTCCCGGCCACGGGCGCCCGCCACGAGCGAGACGAGGGACGGAGCGGTCGGGGAGCCGTTGGGGGCGCCGAGCGGAAGAAGCCACGACATCGGTGGAGGCGGTGGCCGATCCTGAGGATTCCTGAAGAATGATCCTGAAGATTGGTCCGACTTCGGCATTTCCTGCGGATTCCAGTGATATAGATGTTCATCCGGATTGGTCGGAAGCGCTGGACGGACGCCTTTGCGGGTCGATGAGGGTAACACCCACAAAGCCCAAAACTGCCGGACGCTCTTGGATTTGGTGGTGAAGCCGGGAAACACATTAATATATTCCCCATGAAGGGTATTAGAAATAGACAATCCTTTTTTTTCGCAATTACTGGAGAAGAACTCCTTGGTTCATGCATGCACGTGGCACTTCAGCCGTGGAAGTCTGGCTGAATGTCAGCCGTGCCAACAACCTCGCTGGCGAAGCACCTCAAGTGCTCAGGGAAAATCCCTGCCTTTGGCAGATTATGCTCTGTAACGTAACTACAGATAGCCTCTGCTAAAAACTTGTTCATGCCAGGGGGGTAAACTTTGGCTCTAGCTGTTTTAGACAGCGAACCATCCCCTTCCCGGCCCTTGAGGGCGGCATGAGCGCCCGGTCCGTGGTCACATCGACCCATTCTGCCTTGCTGGAGTGCTAGCTGTCGAAAGAGCGGCAAACGCACGAGGAGCAGGGTAGTTGGCTTTACCCCTAATGCACCCATAGTGCATTGGTCAAACGAGACTGCTGTTGTGCATTTCAGCCCTGTAAGCCATCTCAACGCTCGCAACCTCCAGATGGATGGAAGCCGGGCCCATAATGCGACCTGCGGATGTTCCAACCATGCACAACCATCCATGATGGCGGCTTCCCACATGAGCTGCACGATCGTTTGTAGCAGCTCTGTACCTATGCTGACCTGGCGATCCTGCTTCCTGCTCAAAAAAGGTAAACCCCATGGCCTAGCCTGGTCACGAAGAGGTTTGGGGCCTCCCGGCATCCAGCGAGCTGCTGTCCATGTCTCGCATGGCGGGCCTCCTCCAACTCCTATGACTCTTCTCCGGCGTATTTTATCGACCCAGAAGGCAATAGGATGTTTGCCAATGAGATTTCCAATTTCACCTTGCAAACAAAGGTCTACGCTGATGCAAAAGACACAGCGATTTGCGACAAATAGCTGATTCTCAATTTGCCACTGCAAATCTTGATGCCTTCTATGTCCAGCAAAAAGATGGACAAACACAACAGCCTCAGTCAGCAGGTGAACATCAAGGCTGATCAACGATTTAGGACAAAATCGATTGAGATCGCCAACAATGGGACCTCCCACAGCCTGGAAGACAAAACCACCCTCAGGAAGGCCTTCAACTGCATTTTGCTCGACACTGCCTGCAAAATGACCACTGACTCGCAACCACGGCTCATCAAATTCTGCAGCATCAATTTTTCGAGCAAGCATTACTAATCGCATCTTCGGATCCGACCTCAGGCAGCAAAGCAGACGGCACTTTGCAAGCTGGTAATATGGCTTTCCGAACATGGAGTCCGAGAGCTTTCTGCTTTCTGCAAAAGTCGACATCTTCCAGCTCTTTCTGTCCTATCTCTTCTTCCGTCATTGGCGGAAAGCATGCACGCAGCTTGGCAAGGCAGTGATACGCTGTTCTAAGATGTGCCACTAACCTGGGTCGAGCATGGTACTCGGTTCCACATCCAAGGCAATGGGAGCCGAATGCAAAGAACTTAGGCAAAGGCTTGTAGCCATGCCTACATGATGAATGCATATACAATCCTCTCTTGGTTGCGAAAAGCTCATCACATAGGTCACAGCGATAACCGGACGACGCATCTTCGACAGAGGGCTGTATCAGGACTCCGTGCCCCGCCACTCGCCGATGCAGTTCTCGCTCCCAAATCTGATGCTTTGCATTCCTTGTTTGGAACCGCAACCAGTCTTTCGCAGCCTTGCTAATCAGGGTTGTCCAGTCTCTGCATTGGAGTACGAAGAGGCACCAACCCTCGAGGTCGATGCCTGCTGCTGGCCAGTCATAATTGGGATGTTGCGTGCAAAGCCATTGCAAGTCATCCATTAGATGTTGATACCAGGAGTTCTCAACCTGACAAGCTTCTACCAATTGCCAGATCACTTGCGGCATGTGGCGAACCGCCCTCTCAAAGTAGCGGAGCCTTTGCACTCGAATCATCGACTCAGGTGTATGCACGCCTATCACCCCCGCAAGCACATCAACATCGAAATCAAATGCCGGCATGCCTTGCACCAGGGGCTGTACAAGCGGCATGAGCATGGTTCGAGAGGCTTCTTGCAACTGTGCACACTCCTTTGGCCCCATTAAGGCCATCACGTGACCATGATACCCCAGTCTCGACATGACCAATGACCGGAACAACTTCAACTTGCTTTGCAACGAGACTTCATCTCTTTTCCACAATGTGCGACACAAGGGTCCCCAAGCTTTTCTTGCAGTGGAAATCCTGTGCTGAACTTCTCTCCGAGGCGTAACATCAGCTTGCAAGTAAGACCCCAAATGCTTGTACGAATGCGTAACTCGCAAGGACTGACATCCTTTCTCATGCAAAATCTTTACTGTCCCTTGCTGCTGCACAAGCCATTTTCCTTAGCCTTCCGAGATCCTGGACCTCTAAAACACACCAAAAGCTCGGACTTGTCCTGCTGAAAATTAACCGTCGAGCCTCTTCTACGAGTCATTTCAACAAGAATTGCCATAATCTGTGCGGCACTATCAACCACGGCATCAGCTCCTCGCTGCATCACTCCTATATGGCAACATCATCAAAGAACGAGATTTCAAGAAATTGCGGTGCGGACTCCTGTGGACAATAACCGTCAGCAACAACATTACGAAAGCCAATCCTACCAAGTTCATCACGCACATCACACAAAATCCTCTGCATGATGATGTTGAATAGGATGTCTCCGATGGGGTCTCCAGGATGCGTACCCCTACTGGTCTGCGCCACCTGACTCAACCCTTTAACACGGAAATGGGTGGCTCTCATGGCATCTCTCACCCTGTTCCTCAAACTACTGCTACAAGATTCCAGCACAGCATCCTCTCTGGCTTGTTCGCAATAATCTTGAATATCCTCAAGAGTGATGCCCGTTTTGAGCAGGAAGGCACATACTGCTGATTCTGAAAAATCATCTCCAAACAAGCCTTCTCGGAGAACATGATAAAAAGCACTATGAAGATCCAAAAACACCATTCCCATAGGCATTTGCACATTTGCAGCGCAATGCAGAAAACTCTGCAAGAGATGATGCCCCATATCTGTGCTTTTCCCTCGGCGCCCCCCAAAACATGTTGGGCTAGCAATGATCTCATACGTGTCGAGCAACCTATCACGAATGCATGAGTGCGAAAGCTTCGCCACAGCATCTGACAGAAAGATCGACCGATAATTCTTGGGGTCGGTGTAAGCTCCTTTTTTGTACAAGGGGACAGCTGTACCGGATTTCCACTCAAGCGGCTCCCTGGCAGTTCCTGCCACCTTGATCATCAAAAGGTGCATATGCTTAGCAAGGATTTCTCCTCCTGCTTTGAGCACTTCATTGGGCACCGGCCCTGGCGCTTTGCCATTCTTCAGACATCGAATCTTTCTAGTTACTTGTGACAAGCTTGGCATGTCCTCTAACTCCATTGATCCAAACAAGCTATTCATTCCAAGCTGCTGCTTTTCCAGGACATGGGGGTCAACTGCATGCGCCGCTTCAACTTCCGAGAACAAATTGAACCAGATCATTTGCTGTTCCACATGGCCTTCCAATGTTTTTACTTTGGGTAACAACTTGCGGCTACTGACTCCTTTTTTTGGCCTCCCCAACATTGCCAACTTGGCCATGACTAATCTGGTGTCATGTGCTTGGCCAGCTTTTTCGAGTTCAACGACCACTTGATCAAAGAAGGCCCTGCGGTCTCGCTTGCACAACACCCTAACAATCTTTTCTAACCACCTCAATTCCTCCTTCAGATCTGCACGAATTGCCTCTGCCCTGACATGGCGAAAGGCATCTAACACATGTCGCTTCCAACCTATCCATTGGATTGCCTCTTCCGACATCCACGCAGCCTTTCGTTGCTGCCTACCTGCGGGGAAGTGACACATTGCCAACCTCTTTACCTGATCTATCAACCAGGCAGCATGTGCCTCTTGGTCAATGCTGCACAACGGCCATGGCAAGGCCTCCAGATCCTTTTGGATTGTTGTGCTGCCGGGTGTTGGCATCTGTTCCGATCAATACGAAAGGCATTTCTCTCTGGTACGACACCCTGCAGGGCTGCACCGAAAGCCATTTGCACCGGAACATGGTCCTCATGAGTGAAACCCAAGTCAAACGACAATCTACACTCAGATTGGAAAGCAGCCTTGGGGTGTTTCCACGTGCCGCGCTGACCTCGATGCACTCCCTGGAAAGTTTGCGGGGCATACAAACCACACTGCACAAGGAAAGCTTCAAAGGCTCCGGTTGCTGCTCGAGGTGGCTCCTTTCCAGCAAGCCCGTGATACTCATTGGCATGTGTGGCCAAAGGCGCGTTTGCATCTATCATACACAGGACATGCGCCCCTTCCGGGCACTCGATGATCTGCTTGGCAAATTCTTGCCACCAATCTGCAGCTTCACTGCTACCTTTTTGCCAATAGGGAGCATGGCCAACAGCGAAACACCACACTCCAATCGCATTTTCCACTTGCACGATTAGCAACCTGGGGGTGGCATACCGGCAGAAGCAATTGCTACGTGCAAAGGTAACTTGCTTTTGCGTATCGAAGCTCATACTGGAATGAATCCACAGTTCACAGCCAAATTGCCTTGCACGATGCGACAGGCTACACCCGGAGGCGTAGACATGATAATTGGCTGTACGACGTCCTTCTAGAGTCCTCGCCTCTTGGGAGCCTGCTATCAGAACACCGGCATTATTGAGTTGCCAGTCTGCTCGTGCCACTC